CCCCCCCACCACACACACACACCCTTCCCTGCTGTTATCACGAACTCGCACTGTAGTACAGCCGTACGGGAATTGTCTTACTACGTTATGTAGTGTCGCAGACAATCACTGTGTAACCTGCACAGGTACATGTAGACCTCCAGTATAGGGATTCTTTCTATTGGCTCCTGAGATCACGCGTGATATATCATTGGTCGCTATTAATAGCACTGCATGCTTGCCTCTGTGTCCGCACATCATAGTCTACCGGATACCCAACGAACTGGATCGGCCCGTGGAGTTTGTTTTCGCCGCAGATGTCCGGCTGGGTGACCTGAACTTTATTCTCGGTAGGTGACTTGGGTTGGTGTGAGGTTGTTTATAGCACAGGTACGAATGGGGCTGGATGGCTGTGTGTAGGCAGATGTAACGTGTGTATGCGGCATATACCTACCTTTTGAACATCTACCTACCCACCCATCGCCACCCACCAGAGAGCATAACTATAACTCTGAGTACCTGCGGTCTAACCCCATCTCCTTCGTATAGGCAGACGTAAGTGTGTATACGGCATATACCTACCTTTTGAACATCTACCTACCCCACCCATCGCCACCCACCACAGAGCATAACTATAACTCTGAGTACCTGCGGTCCAACCCCATCTCCTTCGTGGTGGAAGCGCATACCAGCCGAATCCTGTTGGCCTCTCGGGAGTTACCGTACAACTCCAAATACAACAGGATACGAGAAAGCTATCTCACTCAGGTAGGCATACACGAATACATGTGTATTAGAAAGCTATCTCCCTCAGGTAGACATCCATGAATATATGTGCATCAGAAAGCTATCTCACTTAGGTAGGCATCCATGAATATATGTACATTAGAAAGCTATCTCACTCAGGTACGCATCCATGAATATATATGTGCATTTGAAAGCTATCTCACTCAGGTACGCATCCATGAATATATGTGCATTAGAAAGCTATCTCACTCAGGTAGGCATCCATGAATATATGTGCATTAGAAAGCTATCTCACTCAGGTAGGCATCCATGAATATATGTGCATTAGAAAGCTATCTCACTCAGTTACGCATCCATGAATATATGTGCATTAGAAAGCTCCCGTTCTTTCATCAGTGTATTCGTTGAGTTCATATCCCGTGGCCATTTTCGCGATGCGTAGCATATCACAGGGTAGGGATGTATGTACAAGCCGTAGAATGGCCTAGTAGTCAGATACAGGACACAGGACACAGTATACAGACACAGTACATAGTATACAGTACACAGTATACAGTATACAGTATACAGTACACAGTACACAGTATTCAGTATACAGTATACAGTATACAGTACACAGTACACAGTACACAGTGCACAGTATACAGTACACAGTACGTGTTACGTTGGCTGTTGCATGCAGCGTCGTGTGTTCCTTTGGTTGGTTGGTTGGTTTTTTAGTCGTTGTAGCTCGGTTGCGACGCAGAAACTCCTCGGCCTTGTGCGTGACCAATGCTCTCCTGAGTTATAAATGTACTTGTATGTCTTTAGTTATAACTGTACTTGTATGTTTTTAGTTATAACTGTACTTGTATGTTTTTAGTTATAACTGTACTTGTATGTTTTTAGTTATAACTGTACTTGTATGTTTATTCCTGCCTGCTTTTGCTTGTCTGCGGTGCGTGTCATATTCTCAATACAAATGAACTCTATTGACAAGCCGAGCTCACAAATCCGATACAGTCCGTATGTAAACAACCCCCACGACTCTTAACAGGCCCAATTAGCATCCGAACACGAACAGGACCCTTTCGACCTTATATGGTCTAATATCAAGCACCGTAACTACCTCTTACAACCTATTTATAGCCTTGCTCCCTGTATTGTTATTGCGCTAAACCGCCATCTCAACAGGCTCCGTTGGACCTGCTTGCTTTCTCAAAGTGGTCAGAGGGTACAGAGCGCGTCACCGGCGAATTCCTCCCACCGACGGTGTCTGATGAAAACTGCACATGCACAGTTGAAGAGGTGAGTACTGTGTATCTGATATGAAGTGTACATGCACAGTTGAAAAGGTGAGTACTGTGTTTCTGATATGAAGTGTACATGCACAGTTGAAGAGGTGAGTACTTGTGTATCTGATATGAACTGCACATGCACAGTTGAAGAGGTTAGTCCTGTGTATCTGATATAAACTGCACATGCACAGTTGAAGAGGTTAGTGCTGTGTATCTGATATGAACTGTACATGCACAGTTCAAAAGGTTAGTCCTGTGTATCTGATATCAACTGTACATGCACAGTTGAAGAGGTTAGTCCTGTGTATCTGTGGGTTTGATATTGGCCGGGTTGTGGCTATATACCTCTGCTCTGTTGAGTGGCTGACGAACGAATGCGCAATTAAGACTAGTGATCGGTTTTAAGTAGACTTCGCTTCGGAACATTTCTTTTAACTTATGTCCTACTATGATTTATATTTTGGCTGAAGCAGTGCCTTCAGTGCTTCAGATACCTATTTAAAGACAATTTATCTACATCTACCTACACACATATACATTTACATGTGTGTGTGTGTGTGCTATATATATTTATATATATATATATATATATATAATAATATATATATATAATAATATATATATATATATACGTATTATGTATAGTAT